CACATCATAGTGACATCAGAGGCAATATGTACAGCTACAAACACTATGGGATCTAGTACATCATATACACACATAGTCTACAAACCATGCAAGTATACAATGTGTTCACATCATAGTGACATCAGAGGCAATATGTACAGCTACAAACACTATGGGATCTAGTACACTATATACACAAATAGTCTACAAACTTTGTGAGTATACAATATGTTCACATTATAGTGAGATCACAGGCAATATGTACAGCTACAAACACTATGCGATCTAGTACACCATATATCTAAATAGTCTACAAACCACGTGAGTATACAATGTGTTCACATTATAGTGACATCAGAGGCAATATGTACAGCTACAAACACTATTGGATCTAGTACACCATATACCCAAATAGATTACAAACCATGTAAGTATACAGTGTGTTCACATCACAGTGACATCAGAGGCAATATGTACAGCTACAAACACTATGGGATCTAGTACACCATATACCCAAATAGATTACAAACCATTTGAGTATACAATGTGTTCACATTATAGTGACATCAGAGGCAATATGTACAGCTACAAACACTCTGGGATCTAGTACACCATATACACACATATTCTACAAACCATGTAAGTATACAATGTGTTCACATTATATTGACATCAGAGGCAATATGTACAGCTACAAACACTATGGGATCTAGTACATCATATATCCAAATAGTCTTCAAACCACGTGAGTATACAATGTGTACAGCTACAAACACTATGGGATCTAGTACACCATATACCCAAATAGACTACGAATCATGCAAGTATACAAGGTGTGCAAATTATAGTGACATCAGAAGCAATATATACAGCTACAAACACTATGGGATCTAGGACAACATATACATAAATAGTCTACAAACTATGTCAGTATACAATGTGGTCACATCATAGTGACATCAGAGGCAATATGTACAGCTATAAACACTATGGGATCTAGTACATCATATATCCAAATAGTCTACAAACCACGTGAGTATACAATGTGTTCACATTATAGTGACATCAGAGGCAATATGTACAGCTACAAACACTATGGGATCTAGTACATCGTATATCCAAA